AGTATCCCTAGATGGCTTCAGTTGAAGAGAGTAGAGTGACACTGGAGATAGCTAGAATTCTGTGGGACTGCTTCATTCCCCTGGGTCTCCCAAGTTGTCAATCTTTGATAGGGTGCCATCTGAATACTTTTGTACCTTACACAGGTTCCAGCTTTCACAGTTTTCACTGCATATGTTAAATATTATAATATATACTGTTAGGCCAGGGATTGCATAAATCCAGTTCTTCAGTCAGGGCAGCGTCTGGACAGACTGCTGCTGCTACTGTGTGCCATTTAGTTGATTCCAACTCCTAGAGTCTCTGTGTAGGATTTCTGAGGCTGTAAATCTTTACAGGAGCAGAAAGCTTCATCACTCTCCTGTGGAGTGGTTGGTGGATTCAAACTGCTGACATTGTGATTAGCAGCCCAACATGTAACTCACTATACTACCAGAACTCCTTCTGGATAGGCTAATGATAATAATAGTAGGGTAACTGCAGCAGCAACAACAATATAAGGATGTTCTAGAACCCTTAGTAAATGACCAGCACTCATCTATTCACTTTATATATAGTAGGTGATCAGTAAGTGGTAATTAACTGAATGAATTTTCAATGTGGATTAGGAGTCTTTAGTAAACATATGATAGTTCAAGTCATGAGAATGCTTTATGAGAGAAAGCTTGGGGAATTGTTTCAGCAAAATTCTCCAAGGGGATATAGTAAAGAGGCAGAAAAGGGACAGGTGGACCCCCAAGAGGCATAAAAGAAATAGCTGTATGGAAACCTATTTATATTTGCTAGTATTCCTCCCAAAACTAACACTCACAGTATTTTATATTATAGCAATGTAACAATTCACAGACAAATATATATATATATATATTCACAATGTTGTGCAACCATCACCATCACCTATTTCCAACACTTTTTCTTCATCCAAACAGAAACTCTGTACCCATTAAATAACAACTACCCATCCACCCCTTGTCTGAGACAAGGATTTTGATACCAAAAGATTTTGAATTTATTTGGAAGGAGATCTCAGGCAGCAGGGTACAGGAGTGGAGAAGTGAACCAGAGAGGGAAGGATCTGGTAAAGATGTGCTGACACTGCTGTGGCCACCTCTAGTTCAGACCCCATGAGGACCTGCAAAGGGGCTGTAAGGAATGTCTTTCCTCTTGAAGGACAAAAGAACTGGATAAGGACTGATGCAGAGGGCAGGATCCCTGCCCCCCTCTAGCAAGTAAAGCCTATGCAGTGTGCTGGCTCTAAAACTCCCTCAGGCAGAGCATCTCGGATATTTGCAATGGAGAGTCATCAGTGTGTTTAAAAATAGAGATGCCTGAGAGGAGCGTAGGTACCTGCTTGCCAGAGACAGTCCACCCCTTGTACCACATAGAGTCATGTAAACTTCACAGGGAATTTTCATGTACTCTGCAAGTTTGATCAAATTTTTTTTTCTAATTATCATAGGACAGATAGTGCTATGTTGCTTCATAACTTCAACTGATGTTCCTGATAGAATTTATGTCATGGAAAGCATTATGGAGCTGTATAACAACTTTAATTACTTACTTGTTTATTACAGCAGTGTTTATATGGCATAAACAGTTAAGTACTTGACTAGCTAACCTAGTGGTTGGCAGTTCAGACCCACTCATAGGCACCTCAGAAGACAGGCCTGATGATCTGCTTCTGGAAGGTCATAGCCTGGGAAACCTTACGGGGCAGTTCTACTCCGTGCACATGGGTGTCCATGAGTCAGAATTGACTTGATGACAACTAGCAACAATAACAATAGTAGCAAAAAAATGAATATAATGAGGAATTTTAGATATAGAGTACAGCGATTCGTATAATGGATTACACAATGAAAAAAAATGCTGACTGGTGATTACTCACATAAATAAATTTTACAACATAACCAAGAGAATTATGGAAATTACAACCGTATTTAATGTGATCCCATTTTTTTTCTTTAACATTTGTCTCTAGATTGACAAGCCTGACTCATACTTGAAAATACTAGTATTAGCTCTTCCTTAGTCTTTGTAATATGACTGCTTGATCAATTAACCTTTTCTAAGTTCCTTATAACATGATGTTCTGCCTTCACAGTAACTTCAAATACTTTCTACAAATGAACCAAGAGTGCCTTCAGAGTCTTGATTGTCACTTTTGGTGGGATTGCTACCAAGCAGCAATTGAGCTCTCAAGTCTTCTACTCACTTGGGGACAAGCTAAATGCAGCCAGACAGATCCTTTGGGATCTGAGGCAGAACAGTCCCACTCCTCTTCCCCTTCCTTCCTTTCCTTACACAAGTACACACACCCAGTCTCTTTCACTCGCACACACTCCACACTCACACTGACAGTCTTATCCATTCTCATACACATGCATGGATTTGCATATTCATTCTCGCTCATGCTCATACACCTACTCTCACATGTGACCTGACACCTTTACAGAACAACCTCATCTTTGTTCTTACCCACAGTTCTCAAGCCTATTCTGGACCTTGCTCCATTTCCCCAGGGGCTGTTACTCCTGGCCCCTGGGAATTCCTTCCATTTTGGATCTAGTTACTAGGGTTGCGACCCACATCACCAGTGGTATCCCAGATGCAACTCCACCTCTGTCCCCTACAAGGAGTTATGTACTGTCGTCTTACCCCTTTCTGATGAAACAGTCATCCTGTTGTTGACAGATGACAATGCTGCTAACAGGAGCATGTGTGTGTGTGTGTGTCCCTATAGTTAACTAACAACCCCTTGTCTCTTAGCTCCTTCTATTCATTTACTTTTTTCCACTTTATTAAGATTCTCCAATCTGAATGTCCTCTAAGAAGAAAATGTCTTAGTGATCAAGGACCCCCATTGTCTCACTCCTTTTTCCTCATTACCACTTCCTGGTTCATTAAGAGGAAGTTTTAGTTCCTGGAGGAACCAATCTGAGGAGAACTGACCTTCCTGATAAAGGACTGTGAAGAGATCAAGGCATCCTTCATAGACTAAAGATGGACCAAGAAAGGTCATCCAGAGGCCTCACACAATGAAGTGATAGGAAGAAAGCCCACAGTGTCTCTATTCCAAAGGAAGCAAACATGCTAAACAAGGGAGCTAGTGAAGCAGACACTCATGGGAAATGAAAACCTCTAAAATCTAAGGCATGAAACCTCTAACGGCCCACCAAATATAACAAAATAAACATAATTAATTCTAACAGAGCAAGTGAATATATCAAATCTCAGCACAGTGAGATACAGCCATCCATGACTATAAGGAGATCTGAGTTCTGAGAAATATATACATGTGCACCCACCCACACATGCATGCATACAGACTTAAAGAGTCCTTCGGGGCGGCAAGAGCTCAATGTAGCTGTGGACTGTGCAGTCCCAAGAGCTCCCTTTGAGTTCAGTAAGGAGGTTATTGAAATCCCAAGAGAACTTGAGTATCAAAAAATCAAGGGAAACTTCAGGAAGATAAGTCAGGAAAAATTATCAAATAGAGTCAGGAAAGAGAAAAAATAAGGATAAAATTTTTTAAATGGAAAAAATAAAATCTATGGTATGAATGTTGTTGTTAAGTGCCATCGAGTCAGTTCTGACCCATGACGACCCTGTAAAGGGTTTCCAAGGAGCAGCTGGTGAGCTTGAACCACTGACCTTGAAGTTCAAATGGCTTTGCAGTCTGATGCATTAGCCCACAGCACCACACCAGGATTCCTTTGTCATTATTTGTGTAAGAACACTGATAAAGAGAAGCAGCGACACCAGAGATGGAGGCAGAGATGGGGACATGGAGAGAGGGAGCAGCTGAGGACTCTATCTAGATTCATGGAAACAGAGGGACTGAGAGTTGGCAGCCAGGAGGCAGACTTGCAGAATGTGCCTTTTGGTGGTGTAAATTACTATATATGCCTGAATGTTTTTAAAAACCTCAAATTAATAGAAATACTATTAACTGATGATACATAGAGGGGATTATAATCATTGTAATAAAACAGACTATATGATTTGTTGAATGTAAAACTGATGATCTGCCCTGTTAACTTTCACTCAATTCACAATGAAAACTTAAAAAAAAAAAAAAAAAAAAAACTGATCAGTTTTTAAATCACTGTATTATTTATTGGTGTCATTTTTTGTTAAGATTTTGAAATTTTTAGATATCGTGTTATGTATGATTTGTTTTTTTTATATATTTCTTATGTTTATAACTAGTGTTGAAAATTTTAGGAAATATACTTTGCAACACATGTATAGCACCAACCTCCCACAATCCTCTGTACTCAGGTGGGTTTGATAACTCATTGCAATAACAGCCCAGACCTCAGAGACAGTACTCACAGCTATGGGGTTTATTAGGAAAGTTAACAAGTTACAATTCTGGGTCAGAAATGTTCAGAGCATAGTTTTTCTCGTCAGGACAACTCTGTCAGCCGTGCCCATAGGCAGAACCACCGGTGCCTGCTCAATAAGCAACTCTTCTTCTCCATTCTCTGGCTCTTCCTTCAGGCTTCTACATTTTAGTAATGTTGGCCAGACACAGGGTTAGCAGCTGCTTCTGATAGTCACTACCATCATGATAACTTAGTGCTTGCTCTCTTTTTGCCTTTTGAGTTTTCAATGCCTTGCTAACAATGATTTTTCATATATTCTCTCTGATGTGTTTTCCATCCCAACAGGACTTCATCTAAGCCAATGGGCAATCCTATAAGTCCTAAGGTCTTTAACTCCATCTTAACGTAGCTTTGTGCCAGCCTATCCTGGTGAGGGTGGAAGAGAGGAATCTGAAGTCATCAGATAAGGTGGTTGGAGGAGAAAGGTTACTCTGTATTTAGCTCCTACTGCATGTATGGCACTGCACTGAATGTTTTACATATATTGTCAAGTTCATATCACACAATAACCCAATGGTGTGCTGACTGCTGTCATCATTTTACAGAGGGGAAAACTAAAGACACAACAGAACTGTTCGCTTGCCCAAAGTCACACATGGATGAGTTGGGATTTAGACGAGGATGTGTTTCTTCTGGAGAGTTGGGCTGGACTGTGGTGAGAGGAACATGGGCCTTGTCCAAAGAGGGTTTCTGTCCCTTGAGAATGTTCTCTCTCTGATGGGAGTCACAGGGACCCCCTGGGGGAGCTCAGAGGCCTCCAGAGGATCAGCCACCTCTCCTGACTCACTGGACATTGAGCAGATGGTCACGGGGCTTGGGTCATGTACCCAGAGACAGAAGAAAGGCCGCAGGACATCTGAGAAAGAGACTCCAGCGAATGTGTAGATGTGCGATCCAATAGCCCCGTTATAGAAGGAGATGTTTCCAGCTTCACAGTCCAAAAGAATGCCCACTCGGTTCAGAGGTTCGGGAGAATGAAGGCGCGTCCTTGGGAATGTGAGAGCCCAGAGTTTCTTCTTGTAAAACTCCACAGCCCACAAGCCATGCTTTGGTGACTTGGGAATTCTTCCCTTCCGATCTAAACTCTCAAGGCAAACACCCAGATTCCAGGCTCTCCTGTTTCCCACCTCAACTTCCCAGTAGTACCTCCCTGTGGTGAATCGCTCCTGGCCCAGAACACAGGGGTCTAGGTCGAATCTTTCAGGATTGTCAGGTAGGTACTGCTCGAAGATCAGTCGGCTTACACTTTTCAGATCCTCAGACAGAACGAGTTTGGGATTGGTAGTGTCTGGATCAAAAGATGGACTCACTGTAGAGAGAGGAAAGGGTCAAGCTTTTGGTTTTGTTGTTGTTAAGTGCTGTAGAGTTGGTTCTGACTCTTAGTGACCCTGTATAGCATTTCCGAGGAGCAGCTGGTGGATTTGAACCACCGATCTTGTGGTTCAAACTGACATTGTAGTCAAGAGTTTATCCTATAGCATCACACCATGGCTTTTGGATTTTGTTGTTGTTGTTGTTAAGTGCCTTTGAGTCGGAGCCGACCCATAGCGACCCTGTACAGGGTTTCCGAGGGTGTAAATCCTTACGGGAGTAGAAAGCCTCATCTTTCTCCCGCAGAGCGGCTGGTAGTTTCGAACCACTGACCTTAAGGTTCGCAGCCCGATTCGTAACCACTACGCTTGTAGTCAAGAGTTTATCTTATAGCATCACACCATGGCTTTTGGATTTAGGGCCCCCCAAATTCCTGCAAGTTTTGGGAATCTAGAGTTTGTCTCCAAACTCTATCTATCTATCTAGATATATCCATCCCTTTGTTCCTAGTGCATGTGAAACCACAGCTGACTCTGAGAACTCCTTAACTGTCTCAGTTTTTTTGTTCTGGGAGGCAGTACAAGTAGCTCAAAGCCAGGGTGGAGGGCAAGACAACACAAGACTTGGAACCAGGGACAGTTTCATAGGACACTCTATAGATGACCAAGTGGATTTTGTGTTCTGGTTCATGTCCCAATATTTTATTTCACAGGCTTGCTCTAGTGTTGTGCTGTTTGTGTGTGAGAGAGTGACAGAGAGTGTAACAAAGACAAGGAGACGGACACACACAAAGAGAGACAAATAGAAAAAAGAAAACATGCAGACAGAAATAGAGAAGACAGACTGAGAAACATGCACACAGACATTAAGATAGAGACAGAGAGAAACAGAAAAAGACAGAGGTGAAGAGAAAGGCTGAGACAGAAAGAAAGAGACAGAGAATGGAGAGCAAGCATGCTGTTCCATGAATGTGGGACCAGACACATCTGGAAAACAGGGATCTTCACAGCAGTAGATGTTGAGACAACACTTCAAAACAGACAACATTGTAAGAAACACATTTGCCCTTCCCAAATGGTCCCTTTCACCTCTGTCTCCCTACCTGCCATCACAATGGAGTTCTCTGATCTGTGGCCCATGTGGATCCATACTGTCTTGTTTGCCTTCCCTCACACCTTTCCTGAGAACCATATGCCCCTAATGAAAATCAAATCACCCAGGCAGTGACTTTGGGGATAAAAGTCTGTCTAGACTTGGGGTCACTAAATGAGAGGCGAATGGTGCTTTGTAGCCAGATTGGAGAACTCAGCTATTCTGGAAGCTACCTCTTCAACAACTGAAAAGTTTAGGGAGGGCCACAGCAGTAGAATCCTGGAGTGATGCTGTTGGATAAGCAGTGGACTGTTCACCACAAGGTCGGTGATTCAAATCCACCAGCCACTCCTCCGAAATCCTATACAGGGTTGCTTTGAGTCAGAACTGATTCAATAGCACTTAACAACAAAAACTACAAAGACAAAAACAACAGTTTTTATAGTAGGAGTGATTACACACTAGGACATATTCTCACTTCTGAAGCCCTACATACCTCATATTATTGTTTGCTTTAATCACAATAAGATGTCTCCAGTCATTCAATATTTCCTGAACTCTCATCTCCAGAGGCTTGATGTGATCAACACTTAGGCCTCTCCAGCTCTCTCTCAGAATTCTCTTTATCTCTTTTCTGAGGTGAAATCCTGCTTTCCTTTGCTTTCTAGCCAAGGCTATTTGTTTGTTTACCCTCAACCCTCCATTCCCCTTACTACGTCCTGACATTTCTTTCCCTCTTCCTTACCCCACCTTTTCAGTTGACCCACTGAGTGTATTGATCTAGTTTGCTCACTTTATACCTTCAATGTGACCATAAACTAACTTCCTGGTACTCTCTTTCCCGCAATAAATCATTAGCCCATCTCTTAGTCTTTCTCTCTACTCTGACTCCTCACAGTATTTTTGACAACTCTGCTTCCATGCAGATGAACCATCAAATGCCCTTGTCTCTCAGCTTCCTGATCTCTTCATCACTGGCTATCATGTCCTGAGTCCATTGACCCTGCAGCTTCATGTCTCTGCGTAGTAATTTCCCTTCTCTTCTTTACAGATTCTTGGGTTATAATGCAGCCAGTTCTCTTATCAAACATTCCAAGCAGTGTCCCTTACAAAACCCTACAACTGGATGAACCTCAGTTGATCTAGCAAAATAGCCTGGGCAATCCTGTTATATCACAAAATCATCTCACCTTCCTTGGTGCTAGACTCCTATTCCATACCCTCTCTACATAGCTCAAACTTCCTGTCCCACCTCACCCCTTCTGCAGTAAAGTACACCTGGCCATATGTGTCCCCTTGCAAATTGTTCTCCTTTTCTCATTTCCTTTATCCTTGTAATCACTTTAGCCACTCTTTTTCACTGAATCATTCCTTTAGGCAGCATACATACTCTTTGAGTATTATATCTAACCTTGAATCACAAATCAAAACAATTACAAAAAAAAATAACAAATTTCCTTGATCTCCGCTGTCCAATTTCCAGCTCTGCCTGGAATTTTCTACAAGCAGTCTCCACTCGTAGACTTCCTTTCCTCTCCCCTACTTACCAACACTTCTCTTGATAATTTCATGGATCATTTTTCTGCCCTTATTTTACTCAATTTCTCAGCTACTCTAACACAACTGACTACTCTATAAACCCATCTCAGCTCTGAATTTCATTGGTAAAGTATTTCATGTTCCTCTGACTTCTCTGTCTATATTTTTCTGTCTTCGTCACCTGCTCATCCTGCTGTGCCTGACATTTAAATATTGAAGCTCTTCAGGATTTGGTCTTGATTTTTCTTCCTTTTCCTGTACCTTTTCTTTTAAAAAAATCTTATTCTGTGTCATAACTAGATATATGCAATTGATCTCAATTGTATACCTCCTGTACAAACTCCTGCTGCAAGCTCTGGGCTTGTCTATCCACTAATCTATTTGATGTTTCCATTTGGATATCTCAAAATATTTGTTGTTTAGTTGGTGCTATTTCATGGCACACACAGCCATGTGTGTCAGAGTAGAGCTGTGCTCCATAGGGTTTTCCATGGCTGTTTTTTTCAGAAGTAGATCACCAGCTCTTTCTTTGGAGGTGGCTCTGAGCAGATTCAAACTTCCAACCTTTTTATTAGCAGCTGAGTTGTTAACCATCTCAATTATAAAAGGTCATAAAACCAACCAGGGTGGGGGGGACTTTCAATTCTCTTGATCCTATGTCTTTCTCTTTTCAGTTAATCATTATGCACTTGCACATCCACCTGATGATCATCTCAAATTCCTCCTCCTTCCTTGCCTCTTCTCTTCTACTTTTAGCTCCATGACATATATCTCATATCTGTTAATTTCTCTTCATCCAATAATATATCTCCCCGATTGAAGTCCTTTCATTAGTTTTCTATTGCTCTTTAAATAAAATCCAAACTTCTTACCACAGCCTTCAAAGCTCTGCATGATCTGGCATTTACTAGTCTTTCCAGTGTCGTTCAGTCCTTTTCTTTTTCTTGCCCATTCTATGTCTTATTCAGCCAGGCTGTCATCCTTCTTGCTTCCCTACCACTCCCATGGGTTTTCTATAGTCCTTTGTGTCTGCTAATCCCGCTGCTGTGGAGGGTCCCATTCCCTACTGTATCACTCTGCTTTCTGTATTAATACCACAGTCTCATGGTAGTGCCTTCCTTGATGATCCTAAGTAAACACTCTCCTATTAAATTTCATTATTATGTCTGTTTCATTCCAATACAGTATCTCAGTTTAATCCAATTTGAATTAAGCATTGTTATTAGTCTGTTGTTCACATGCTAAATAGATTGTATGCCACATGAGGATACGGTTAATCCATTTTATTAATAATATACTCAGTATGCAATGCCCTCAATAACTATTTTAAATGATTGAATTAATGAATTCTCTCTTCTCGACTCTGCAGTAAATGATTGTGTCCAGATGAGGTCTTCCCAGCCCTTCTTAGTCCTCTATTTGCCCCCACTTCATTCTCTGCCAGTTAGGCCTTTCTGATGGTTGACTCTCCCTTTCCACAGTCAGTCTCTTCTAATTACACTCTATGCTTCCCACCTAAAGAGATCATGTCTAGAGACTAAGAGTCACTGACTTCTCTATTCTTCATAGTACCAGCCTCTCCTGAGTCCTCTGACTTAGAACAACTTCCTCAGAATTTTCCACAAGCAGGACTATTGCTGCTATATGAGCTATTTATACTCAGTTCTTCTAGGACCTTAGAAAATAAAAAAAAAGAAAGACCTGTAGGATAAGCACTTGATAGGATAAGCCACAAGATCAGAAGGTCAAACTCACCAGCCACTCCTGGGAAACCCTACTCGATGGCACTTAACAACAACAAGAACAAGTCTCTCTGGATGCTACAATTTGATTTTCACAAGGATGTGACTGGGATTCACTGGCATTTCTACACTCTAGAATGCAAGGGAGTACAGAAACACTGTGGCACAGTGAATTATTGCTCTAGTATAGACTCTCTAGATTGGGGCAGGATCTGCATTCATAGCCCTCCCCTGTTCTGTTTCTCCTGCCCACCATAGAGCAGTTGGAGCCCGTCACCACTGGCTCGAGACTGGTGCTCCATTTCTTGCTGCTCTCTCATTTCATCCAACTGTTTTCTGGTTTTCTTCCTTTGTCGTTTCTGGAAGACGCAGATGGCTCCAACTGTTACAAATCCCAGTGCCATGAGGACCAGAAGCAGAGTTCTCCAAGCTGTTGTGGGCTGGAACCTTTTGGAGAAGGGAGCTAAAGGGAATTCCAGGAAGTCTCATGAGTAAAGAATATTGGAGCAATAATAAAAAGATTGTCTAACTGAACATGATATTTATAAACTACTCTACAGTGGTTCAGAAAAAAAGTATGTACACTTTTGCATTTATAAAAACAGAGATAAATCCAACTAACCAAATCCACTGCCATTGAGTTGATTCCAACTCATAGTGCCCTATAGGACTGCTCCCTTTGGGCTTCCAAGACTATAAATCTTTACAAAAATGGACAGTTTCATTTTTCTTCTGTGAATCAGTTGGTGAATTTAAACCACTGACCTTGTGATTAGCAGTCTAGTGCTTATCCCACATCCCCATTAGAGCCCCTAAGCAGGTATGTTGTTGTTGTTAAGTGCCATCGAGTCGATTCCGACCCATAGTAGCCCTGTATAGGGTTTCCAAGGAGCAGCTGGTGAGCTTGAACCACCAACCTTGTAGTTCAAACAGCTTTGCAGTTTGGTGCATTAACCCACAGTGCCACACCAGGACTCCAAGCAGGTATAGATAGAGATATATTATTGTTGCTTTTGGAAGTACATATCTAGGTTTTTCTTCCAAGGCACCTCTGGGTGAGTTTGAACCCTCAACTTTTGGCTAGTAGTTGAGTGCTTAACAGTTTGTTAAGTCACCCAGGGACTGCAGGGTAGATAGATCCCTAAGGTATAGACAGTAGATGGAAATGATAAAACAAATGTAGCAAAATGTTAAACATTGGTAAATTTGCATAATTTTGGCAAAATTTCCATACATTTAAAAAAGGTTAATATTGTCGTGAGCCTTTCTTTTTCCCTGAGAAGGCACTAGTCTCCTGGAGGCTCTCCAGGCACTCCCATCCACCTCAGTCATAATCACCCAAACTGCATTTCCCCAGGACCCTTAAGACAGGTCCCTGTGGGAAAGGGTGTGAACAAAGATCTGCACCTCCTCGCTCTCTCGTTACATGGTCTTGCTGCTCTCTCAGATAATCCTGATATCCAGGATCATGTTTGTCCTCCCTTAAGTTTTTAAAAATGAAGGAAAGAACTGAATAAAACACTAAGCCAATGGATGACTCTCAACTACCTCCTTCTCTAGGAGTAAAGGGTTGACAATGGAGTAAGAAAGGCCTTCTATAGCCCTGTGCTTGACACCATACTGGATACCACAGCAGAGTAAATCTTTGCGGGATCAGAAAGCGTCCTCGTTCTCCTGTGGAGCCATTGGTAGTTTCGAACTGCTGACACAGACTTTCCATTAGTTGTCAGGAATTTTTCACATACCACTGTGTTTAATACTTATATCCCAAATGTATTACGCCAATTTCATAGATTAAAAAACAAAACATAAAAACGGTTTTAGGAAAAGGTCTAGATTAAATACATTTCTTATGTCACTAAATTAGTAATTGTAGGAAGCAGGATGAGAACCAAGGTTTACCTGATTTCAAAGCACAAAGCCTCAAGGAAACTTCTTTCCATATTCCATAAGCACTCTCCTCTCTATCTACCTTTCTCTTAGTGGTATAATGAAAGGAAGAAGAATCACAAACCATAAACATGCACTGAGAACTACATTTCCTAGGAAACACTGCACCAGAAGAAAATAGAACTTGACTAGAAGTATATGTTGTGAAAAGTTCTAAAGTTTTAAAGAAATTTGGCCATAAATGTGATTTTCTGGAATTGGGACTGAAACTTTGTCAGAGAAACTTAAACTTTGGCTCACATGGCAGCAAGATGACCAAGCACGCAAGCCTCTTACCTATCACCTGCAGCAACATTGTGGCTTCCCTGTAAGACCTATCATCTTTGAAAAGGCAGTGATAAGTCCCGTTATCAAACATAGTAACATTGTATATCCTCACTGCAGCTTTGCCCTTGGAGATATGGTCTCTCACAAATGTTGTTCTCCCTAGATATTCTTCCATCTGCTCTTCAGACACATCTTCCCCTTTCTTGTACACATACACAGCTGGAGTGAAGTGGTCCCTGTACCATCTCAATTCCATGTCCTCGGCACTGATGTTGGGGGACAGATGGCATGGTAACTCCGTATCTTTCCCCACTATGGCCAGAATAGGATTCTCAGGTCCAATGACATCAAAATTGACTTTTCCTTAAAGAGGCAGATATAACAGAATTGAGTTAGGCCGTCTGTAAAAAAAAAAAAATGGAGTTCTCCCACCCATGCCCACGTTTATCTTGGAGGATTTAGGTATTCCTTGTATCCTGAGCTTTGTTTTTAGCATTGGTATATCCTCCTAGCATTGGGAAGGGAATGCTCTCCTACCGTCTCCATGTACGACTGTGAGCAGCAGCTGCAGGAAGATGAGGATGATGAAGCAGCAAGGCAGAGAGGTATCTTGGAAAGGTGGCTTTGCCATCACTGCTGGGGGTAAAAAGACACACAGGCCAGTACATCAACACTGATGGAAGAGAAGGCCACCACCAAAAGATTAGCAGAAGCCAACGAAAAAGCACCTTAGAAAAGAAAGCTATTTTTAACCATGTTTTTCACTTACAGTCTCTAACAAGTTATTTACCATAGAAACAGAGAGACAATGAGCCTCCCTATCCTCCTGTTTTGGAAGAAGTGCAGCCAGAGTGCTCCTTGGAGACCAGGATGGCCAAACTTCATCTCTCATACTTTGGACATACTTTCAGGAGGAACCAGTTGCTAGAGAAGTATATCATGTTTGGTAAGGTGGAGGGTCAGAAAAAAAGAGGAAGACTCCCAGCGAGATGGATTGGCCAAGTGGCAGCATCAATGGGCTCAAGTGTGGCAACACTTGTGAGGTTGGCCCAGGACCGTGCAGTGTTTCCTTTTATTGTGCATAGAGTTGCTATGAGTTGGTACCAACTCGATGGCACCTAACAACAACAACCCTCCTGTTAGAGTCCTGGTATGGTGCTGCAGGTTCATACCCTGGACTGCGAGGTTGGTTTGAACTGCAAAGTTGGCAGTTACAGCTCACCAGTTGCTCCTTGAAAACCCTATTCAGAGTCACAGTGAGTCAGAATCTACTCAACGGCACTTAACAACAACAACAACCCTCCTGTTACACAAATAATTTTTCTCTTATAAGTTGTAGGAACTTGTCCATAAAGTTTCATGAAGACATCCTTGGGTGTTGATGGATTTCATTTTTTTGTTGCTAATATAAAAGTTATTATCTCATCTCTAGTCTTTTACTGTAGTGTAGTGAAAATACTGGTTGAGAAACTGAAACTTTGATTAAGCATCTTCACAATCATTTACAGATCCCCTTAAAATCCTCTATTTCTTGTTTCCAGCAGGACTTTTGTGGTTGGGAGGACAGAGCCTATGAGCTTCCCCAGAGGGGTCTAGTCATTCCAATACACTCTGTAAATTATATTAATTGTAAACTCTGTTTCGAGGGAAAATGCTCTAAATAATTTCTTTAAGTGTGTGTGTGTTTCAACAAAACTTTATTTATATATTGTTTTTGCTTTTAAGTGCCCTCAAGTCTGTTTTGACTCATAGCAACCCAGCATAGGATTTAAGACCCAGCTGGTGAGTTTGAACTGCTAGCCTTGCGCTTATTTGTAGCTCCTAAAAGAGCACAAGGCAGGCATTCTTTATTAAAAAACAAAACAAAACAAAAACACAGCCATTAAGTTGATTCTGACTCATAGCAATCGTATAGTTGAGAGTAGAACTGCCTGATAGGTTTCCTAAGACTGCAATCTTAAAGGAAGCAGACTGCCACATCTTTCTTCCGCGGATGGCTGGGGGGTTCCAACCTACTGCACCACCAGCGCCCCTCATCCCTTCTTGGTCAGAACTGACTCAACAGCACTTAACAACAAATCTACCAGGAGACTTTCTGCTCTGGCAAAGATCCACAACCCCGGAAACCAGGCATCAGAACTAACTCGATGGTACACAGCAGTAGCATTGTGTCATTTTAAGAAGACTTCAAGGGATTCTAAATAATTTCTGCCAGTCTAAGCTATGAGTCAAAATCGACTCAACAGCAATAAGTGGTAAGATGATTCTATACAAAACAGCCACACAACAGTAGTATTTTTTAATTAATAAGAAATTATATTAGTAAGTACATTTGGCCCACTCAGACAAGACTGTTCAGTTCTCATCTTTTAAGAAAGGTCTCAGGGTCTCCCAAGGACTTGAGGATGAGTTGAATGTGAAGAAGCAGAAGTACAGATGAGAGCCCTAAAATAGATATTACTCACCCAGTCTGGATCCAAATGCACGCTTTCCAGGGAAATTTTGATGACTTTGAGGGAATCAGTTTAGTTCCTTGCAAATGCAGAGGGGTCATAATCCAAGAGAACCACACCGTCTCCAAAGGACTTTAGAAATCTGACATAAATTCCCCAGATTCAACAGAAACCCCCAGTTACTTTCTGTGAAAACTATCAACTGTGCCTTCTTAACAGTTACAAAAGGAAAACATAAGGGTTTCCTAAAGGGTGTCAACAGTATTAAACATTTTGAGGGTTGAGATGAAAGACTCTGGCAGCAGAAGATAAGCAAATAGATGAACACAAATGGAAGGATGCCTATCAGAGCAGGCACAGGGGCCACCACCAGAAGCCCCAAGGAGGAGACATGCATTGTAAGCATTAGGATCCAGGCCAAAGGCACAAGCTGAAGAATTCAGATAACGTCTCTTGGTTATCAAAAGAACTTCAGTCACATCCAGTTGGGGCCAGTTCCCTTGGGAAAGGTTTTTAATGATTGTGTTCAAATTGGTCTAATTCTAGAATTTTCCAATTAGACAGCTGTCAGAAATTCAGACTCTTGAAGGTATTAAATGTGATTCTCCTTCTCCCTCCTTTGTGCATCTTCTCTAGCCATGTGGTCCTGGAACTTGGTGCACAAAGTCTGATGACAGAAAGGCTCATATGGATTCCGTTTAGAACATTCATTTTGACTCCTTGTATCTGAGGAAGATCAAGACTATCCCCTCCCATTCTTCCCTATTATTAACCCAAAAACAAACCCACTGCCACTAAGTTGATCCTAACCATAGTGACCCTATAGGGTTTCTGAGACTGTAAATCTTTACTACAGGATCAGATGTTGTTATTGTTAAGTGCTGTCAAGTCAGTTCTAACCCATAGTGACCATGTATAGGGTTTCCAAGGAGTAGCTAGTGAGCTTGAACTGCCAACCTTGTGGTTCAAACTGACCTTGTAATCCAGTGCCATACCAGGACTCACACAAAGCCGATGGCACATTTGAGCTGCTGACTTTGTGACTGGTAGTCCAGTGCTTACCCTACAGTGCCATCAGTGCTCCTTACTAACTCAAAAGTATGAATATTTTCCTGAAAGGGTTTTGGTGGGAAAAGTGGTATAGGGAAAGGCTGTATGATCTTCTTGGAGATTGATGTTATTTGACTCAGCAGATACATGTTAATGACTACAATTCACCCTTTTTGTGTTGGGAGCCATGGAGGAATAAGAGATTTGTAAGATAGAATGCATGTGAAAGGTTTAAGTAGCACAAAGTACTGGTAAAGCAAATGTTGAGAGGTGGTGGTGGTGGATTGAGGGTGGTAGGGTTAATGTTCCAGGGTGGAGGGAGGGAGTCACTGTGTCTGACCTGGTGGCAGAAATGCAGGGTAATGAAAGGTTCCTTAGTGAGAGGGGGATATAAAGCCATCCTATTATATCTTCTTGTTGTTAAGCATAGTGTCGATTCCGACTCATAGAAACCTTATATAGGGTTTCTGAGGAGCAACTAGTGGGTTTGAACTGCCAATCTTATACTTCTGGGATAGAAATAGATTCAATTCATGGGAAATGGTAGCCAAGAAGGTCTTCTTCTCATTCTACTGTTTGATCTTGAGAAATGTGCAGTGGTGGAATCAGGCAGGGGGAATGCTAGTGCAAGGGCTAACACTACCAAGGCCCAAATGTAAATTTTCTCCCACATTCTTCTTCAGGTAGTGTTCCTTTTGGTAAATAAAAGTGTTCCACCTTTGAATATAAATATAAGGGAGCCTCAAAAATTTGTGGAAAAATTCATTATCTTTCATTCCATTTTTCCATAAACTTTTTGAAGTCCCTTTATATATAGGGAACATGCTTATTATTTGTTTACATTTTACTGTGAATTGCTTTAACCAGATGATTATATCACCTAAAACTCAATTAAGATATAAGTTTGAGTTGGTTAGGGACTAGGTTTTAACAATCAAGCAGAAATACTGATATAAAATTAGTAGAATGAACTATAATGAAAAGCAGTATGTGATACTTAACAGTAGGTGGAGGACAAAGTGCTATGATTATACAGAGAAGTGGATCAAAATTAATTATGAATTAGAAAGCCATCATGAAGAAGGTATGTTGTTGTTGTTGTCAGGTGCCATCGAGTCGGAACCGACTCATAGCGACCCATGCACAGCAGAACGAAACAATGTCCAATCCTGGGCCAACCTCACTACTGCTGCCACACTTGACGCCATCAATGATGCCACCTGGCTGATCCATCTCGTTGGGGGTCTTCCTCTTTTTCTCCGACCCTCCATCTTACCCAGCATGACATCCTTCTCCAGCGACTGTTCCCTCCTAACAATATGTCCAAAGTATGAGAGACGAAGCTTAGCCATCCTGGCCTCCAAGGAGCACTCTGGCTGCCCTTCTTCCAAAACAGATCTATTGGTTCTTTTGGCAGTCCATGGCACTTTTAGTATTCTCCTCCAACACCACAACTCAAAGGCATCAATTCTTCTACGATCTTCCTTATTCACTGTCCAGCTTTCGCATCCATATGAGGTTATTGAAAATACCATGGCTTGGGTCAGGCGCACCTTCGTCCTCAAGCTGACATCTCTTTTCCTCAACACTTTAAAAAGTTCCTGTGCAGCAGATTTGCCCAATGCAATACGTCGTCTGATCTCTTGACTGCTGCTTCCGCGAGTGTTGACAGTTGATCCAAGAAGAATGAAGTCCTTGACAACTTCAATCTTTTCTCTATTGATAAGAATGTTGTTTATTGGTCCAGTGGTGAGGATTTTTGTTTTTCTGACATTGAGATGCAACCCATACCGAAGGCTGTGCTCTTTGATCTTCATCAGTAAATGTTTCAAGTCCTCTTCACTTTCAGCAAGCAAGGCTGTATCATCTGCATATCTCAGGTTGTTAATGAGTCTTCCTCCAATCCTGACGCCAAATAAGCAGGTGGGTTGCCTACACAAGGTGATTCTCCTCAGCTAATGCATGACCCAGAACAAGAGCTAAGAGAGACATATAGGAGACATGTCCACCTTGACATTCCTCAGTCCAAATGTGTATACTGAGGTAGGGATAAAACAAAACAAAAAACCTGTTGCCATTGAATCAATTCCAACTCATGGTTACCCCATGTGTATCAGCATAGAATGCA